ACAAATTGAAAGTGTATCAATAATATCCATAAAATCTTCCAACTAATTTGTGTTCAACTTTTAAAAATCTTCCCCCCCCCCCCCCCCTCCCAAATTATAGGTAAATGGAATTGTAAAAATTATAAGAAGAGGAAATTTAAAAATAAAATCAGCTCAAGGCTGCTTCTTATTTTACTCATTTGTGTCTTTAAAAATTATATTATATTTTTAATAATCTTCTTGAAACAATATATTTTTACAAAGATTTTTTAATTTTATAATTTTATGATCATGAGAATGTTGTTCAGTTTTTTAGGTCTTAGAACTTTTTTCATTGACTGAATATTTCTAAGGGAGATGTATACTATAATTTATATTTTGTACTAAAACTTAATTTTTATTTTTAAAAAATTAAATTATTTTTGAGAAAAATCTGATACACCTATAAAAATTGAGCTGACCACTCTTCAGAGAGTTTGAGATAGTAAACTTCGATGTATAATTAGCAGGTATAGATTTTAATTTGTTTTGATGAATAAGAAACTTATGTGATTTTAGATGATAATTTGATTTAATTAGAGTAGCTTTCTTCAATTGGATTAGAATTTCTAGTGAGGTAAGTAACTTCTACTCCTTAATGGTGTTTTTAATTTTCAATTACATATAGATATATAATTATATTGCTATATATATATATAAATATATATATTTGAGAACTCAAAAGTGTTATCATGCAATGTATATATATATATATATATATATTATTTATTATTAAATTTCACGTCAAGAAATAGAATTATTAATTAATTTACTTCCTAAAATTCAATTATTTTGGAAACTTGACCTATTATAGTTTTGTGAATTATTACACTTCCCCTAAGTTTAGGAACTATATGATGAAGATATTGTTGTGTTTTTATACATTGTGGAAAATAAGGTGAAGATTTGAAGTTGTTTTGAATAAATGACAAGAACTCGGTTTATGAGTACTGAAAGAAAAATTATAATATGTCGATATTACCATGTGAAGCTAGTGATCTTGCAAATGAGTATTAAACATTAGTTAATAATTCGTGATTTTATCAATGAGAACATTGAGTATTGTGATTCCGCCAATAATGGTTAAACATTAATCATATTAATTTATTCTTGTTATAGGGACTAGTTTTGACATCGTGCCACTAGTAATAGAGCAACATACTATCTGATTTTATGACTACTGCCACTAGGATTAACTATATTAGTTTTCAAAAAAATTTTGGAGACAAGATTTTTATAGATGTGTGTTTCATTAAGTTTCTACTATACAAATATATGTTTGATTATAATTTTTAAAAAGAATTCATATAAAAAGTGTGAACTAAGATTTATGAAAATTTATTTTTAGTATATGTATTTGTAAAATATATGTAATATTTTTTCTTTATATGACAACAACCAATTATGAAGTATTCATTATTTACAAATTGTCGAGTTTATAAATTTTTATTTTTCCTTTTCAGATCTTAAATATAACACTTGCGTCGTAAAAATTCTGGGATGAGATAGTTAAAGTTTTTATGATTAGTGAGTATTACATATCTATGAGACCTTCTCATGAATATGCTCTATTATAACGTGCCTAAGTCTCCGATTTGGGACATTATAATTTAGTTATACCAGAGCATGGTTACTCTTAGGTCATAGGAAAAAAGTTACATAAAAAGATAGTATTGGATATAAATTAAGAAATCATGTAATTTTTTCAAATGTACTTCCACTAATTTTTTGAATTTAGATATACAGTTTCTTATTTTTTAGCTAGTGTTGGACATAAGATCAAATTATTTAATAATTCGTTAATGAAAAGAAAGAGAGAAAAAAAATTGATAGGCTTCTACTACTGTAAACTTAGAGAATGTTTGCATTGAATTGCAATAATATTTGGTTAATTTATGAATTGCCCATATTAACATGTTTAGTTATAATTATTAGAGTTGCAGATATTCTTGATAGCATATTATAATTTGATTAAAGGATATAAAAGTAGTGGTTTATTATTTATTTATTCTTAAAATTAAAAGATATGAAAATAAAGCGAAAGAAATATTGGATGAATATAGATAAGATCATGTGGTGATCTAGATATCATGATTGAATGTGAATCTTGATAAGAGAATATAAGGCATTTTGATTTATTATCTTTAAATGTAAAGGATAATGAGTTAACTTATAACGTTATTAACAATAATATTAGGGATTTTTTCTATAATTATTCTAATAGATTAATTATTTTACTTATTATGAGAAGATCAGGATATATAGCCTCTCAGTAGATTATTTTAAGTTTGAATTATAATATTATAATAAATAAGTGAAATATTTACAAATTATATTAATTTGTACCTTAGTCTAGCTGGACAAGAGTTGAATCAAAATTTATGGTTTATAACTTTCCTAATACCTTCATGAGTTATGCGATTATCATTAACTGAGAAATAGAATTTGTTGGTTTGATGTCAATTATATAAGATACCTTGAAGATTTCTAAAGTTAGAACTAAAATAGTATAAGCATCACACAACCTTTTTTGCATAAGCTTATGTAACATCCCAGTGCCAACTAGGCACCAACGTTTAACTGAGCAAATTAAAATGCATATAGATAACAAAACAAAACACAGAATAATTGTTCCTTACAGTGATTGCAATAATAGTGTACTAAAGTACTAGACTATCAAATCTTACACATCAATATTGCATATTTACAAAAAATTTGGCCTATCAAAGACAAAATACAAAAAGAATGTCTTTAATGCTTCCACTAAGTCTTTTGGAATGAATCCAGACATGCATCATCAGGGACATATATAAGATCATCATTTAGGAAGGAGATTGGATTAGGGTGAGTTTCAATAAATTCAGTAAGATAGATAGTAATTAAGGTATACAATTACTATATTAAAATATATACATATTAGTCAATAATGAATAAGTAAGATAATTTACTAAATCAGTCTAATTCATTTTATTTATCAATATTTTACATTATTAAAGAACCAAACCAAAAAACATCATGCAAATCATTCCATAATCTAGAAGCCTTAGAACAGATCAATTTTCATATCTAAATCAAATTAAACTATTTACTCACGCACCCAAACTTAGACTCTGACTCATCTCTAATTTTAATACAACATTATTAATCTTATTTTAAATTATATTATTTATGTATTTACGCGCGCAACTGTCTAAATCTATATCTAGAAGGTAAAATACACTGAATGTATTGTGAATAGGTGCGCAGATAAAACATACATACAAACAAATCACTCAATCACTCTGGTCGCTTCATTCATCCTCTGTGCATAGGGCAATGAATCAGATATGTCTACTTAAGTTGAACCATCATTTATAAGGGACCAAAAACCCATTCACATGCCAAAACAAATTGTAGATACAAAAAGTCCCTCCTAGGTAACATGGTAAGCGGATTTAACTATGACAATTTTTTTTATTACATTTTATTTAAACACTAGTCTTATTTAATTCGTTTAATTTTAATCTAACCTAGACCTAAATTCGTAGACTTAAGTTAAATTAGAGACTCCTCTTACCTAAACCAAACATGTTAAACTGTTCACAGACTTGGCCTTATTTCCTTTAGTTTTTGTAACAATCCAAAAGAATTGGACAGTCCAGATTGCACAAGGGAGACACAATGACTAGGATTAAAGGGAGGGTAAAATAAACAAAATACCCTTAAATGAAACCTGGATTGAATGACCAAAAATAAATTCCCAGATCCAACGGTCCAAAATCGGCCCTACCCGATTATAAATACCTTGTTTCTGCTGAATCAAATTCTAAAGAGAGAATGGAATGACAGAAAGGAGGGAGAGGAAGAGACTTGATCGGGAGAGGAGAATAGAGGGAGTTGTGCGAAAATCCTCAATCAGGAACAGACACAAACGAAGAGGAGTTGGAAGTGGAGCCATACTATGTGCTAGCAACGACTACAGAAGCAAGGTAAGTAGATTTGTAATGCACAACTCGATTGAGAAGAGTTTACTTCTTGAATTTATGTTTTTAGATAAATAAGGATGAATTAGATATTGCAATCGGTGTTTTAGTTAATAAAAATAAGTGGGATAGAGTGAATCTCAATTAGAGGGCGTGCATAGATATAAAATCAGGAGAATTAGCGATTTGATTAGGAATTAATGAGAAAGAAGGAGCACAATTGAGTGATAGCAGAGTAGATCGAACGAAAATGACCCTGTGTAAGCTCTTTTTCCTTGAATAATATTAACCAAATAGAATCGCATGAGGAGTTCACCTCTGTGGCATTACTCCGTCAGTAAATCTGGTGGTGCTAAAATGCAAGAAAAGTGATGAAATTCAGTGGGCTAAATTTACAGGTCATTGGGGTTGCTGCCCCGAATGTCTGGTGTGGTGAAATTCTGTATGTGTTGCATGAAATTGTGATTGTCTATGTGAAAACTTGACTGAGGGGTCCTTCGGTATCATTGCGTTGCTTTTATCAATTTTTATAATTATAAATGACATATTCTATAGTGAGCTTCTGTAAGGAGCGAAGTATGAATGATTGTGCCCTTTTAAGGGTCGAGGGGTTGAAGCCTCGAAAACTTTATATGGTACTGATGGCAAATGTATTTTGGAAGTTGTAAAAGTTAACAAAAAATTATGAAGGTGAGAATGAATCACTAGAAATGACTGAGAATAAATAAAATGAAATTTATGTTTATATGTGGGGGAGAACGGGATACTGAGTGCTGCTGGTTATAAATGCCTAATTATATATATATATATGTATACATGGGCGGAGATGGGATAACATAGACTGCTGGGTGTTGATTATATGCAGTTAAAATAGAAATAGGAAGAGAGAAGAGTTAAGTCAGAATACCAGAAAGATTGTGAAGAAAAAAAATGCAGATAAAACAGAAAATAAGAAAAAAGAATAATGAAGTTAGGATACCGGAAAGATTGGGAAAGGGAAACAAGTTAAGCAAAAATATAAAAAAAGGAGAAAAAAAAATACCAGAGGCCATTCTACAGTATGGGAGGAGGAGAGACTAAGATTAGCCTGTGATCACAATAAGTTTAACATACATGAATGGGTGTAACTGATGGGTGATTGGGTTAATTTAGGAGGAGCTGGCAGTACTAGGGCGAAAGGCACGTGGGACAAAAAGTCTAGTTGTAAAGTCTTTCCTTTCGTAGGTATGGTTTATAAATTTACTATACTGGGCAAAATAGCTCATTATGTCGTATATCACAGAGCAGGTTAAACCCGAACAGAATCAAGACGCACCAAAGACATGTCTCCCAGCATAATAGGAGCACCAAGGGCTTTCTCCTGACCACCAAGAATATAGGAGTGTAGTAATCATGGCGAATAACAGTATGTAGTTATGACAGATGATGTTATTATGTCATACTGATGGGTATAATCTAAACCTCTCAATGTGATATGACATATTGAAAGGAATATGATAGTTAGCTGATGTAGAAACTGGAACCATCATGTATACAGTGAAAATGAATATTCATATAGATATGTCTTTCCATTTCTCTTTGTCGAACTTGTGATATGTACAGGAGGAATGAAGTTGATCCCTTATCTTTATAAGAATGGAGGTGTTACAGATAGTATAAGAGTTAGGTTTCATTAAGTGTATTTTGTTTATTTTACCCTCCCTTTAGTCTTGGTCGTTGAGTCTCCCCCACATATACACATATTTTATTTTATCTATTCTCAAATATTTCTAGTGATTCATTGTCACCTTCATAATTTTTTGTTAACTTTTACAGCCCCCAAATTACATTTGCAATCAGTACCATATAAAATTTCCAAGGCTTTAACCCTTCGACCCTTAAAAAGGGCCGCAATCATTCATATTTCACTCCTTACAGGAGCTCACAATAGAATATGTCATTTACCATTATAAAAATTGATAAAAGCAATGCAACGATCCCGAAGGACCCCGCAGTCAAGTTTTCACACAGACAATCATAATTTCATGGAACACATATAGAATTTCACCACATTAGACATTCGAGGCAGCAACCCCAACGACTCGTAAATTTAGGTCATTGAATTTCATCATTTTGCTCGCATGTGAGCACCACCAGATTTACTGACGAAGCAACGCCACAGAGGTGTACTCCTGCGATTCTGTTCGGTTAATATTATTCAAGGGAAAAGAGCTTACACAAGGTCATTTTCGTTCGATCTTCTCTGCTATCACTCAGATTGTGCTCCTTCCTTCTCATTAATTCCTAATCAAATCACTAATCCTCGTGATTTTATATCTATGCACACCCTTCAATTGAGATTCACTCCATCCCACTCATTTTTATTAACTTAAACATCGATTGCAGAATCCAATTCATCCTTATTTTATTTAAAAACAAAAATTCAGAAGTAAACTCTTCCTAATCGAGTTGTGCATTACAAATTTACTTACCTTACTTTTGTAGTCGTTGCTAGCTCGTAGTATGGCTCCATTTCCCGTTCCTCTCTGTCTGTTTGTTCCTAGTTGAGGATTTTTGTACAGCTTCCTCTATTCTCCTCTCTCAGTCGAGTCTCTCTCCCTCTCCCTCCTTTCTGTCATTCCATTCTCTCTCTAGAATTTTATTAAGCAGAAACAAGGTAGTTAAAATCGGGCATGGCAGATTTTGAACCGTTGGATCTAGGAATTTATTTTTTGCTGTTCGATCCAGGTTTTATTAAGGGTATTTTGTTTATTTTACCCTCCCTTTAATCCTGCTTGTTGGGTCTCCCTTGTGCAATCTGGATCGTCCAATTCTTTTGGATTGTTATAGTTTTCATTTCTCATATTTAATCAATTCCCTTTGTTTATTTTTCCTAATTTTCCATTCTTTTTTCCATTTCTTTCAATTGATTGTTCAGAAAATCCTTATATTCAATATTTCCTTAATTTTTATGTTTTTCCAAAGTTCTTCTTTAATTGAATCCAAACCAAACCAAAAAAAAATTTAAACAATTTTCTTTTAAATTTACATTTAACAAAATCTCTCATTTTCCCATTATTCAAGCTCTCATAATTTTTTTCTGAATTCAAAGTTTTTATCAATTTCCTTAGTTGATTCCTAATTGCCTTAGAATTGATTTCCAATTTCCAAATCTTAGATTTAAATTGCAAACTTCCTTCTTTCTAGTGTTTTGGGCAATTTGCCCTTCGACCCGTGGCAGGGGAATAAAATCTTGCAACCTGCACTTTCAGCACAGGGTATTATGGCCCGCTGACACTCTTGGCATGTGCACGCTTGATAGTGTCCCGTGGCCCTGCATGCTTGCCACACGCAGCAGCATGTGTGTGGGGCGTGTGCATTGGCACAGAGGGTGCCAGGTCACATGTCGCTGTATGCATATGCGCAGGCCTCACCTGCAGCATGCAGACCCCTTTCAGCGCAGCAGGGGTGCCTAGCAGGGCCTAACATTAGTGTGCAGCATGCGAAAGGAATTGTTCTGGCACTTTCAGTGCCTAGAAAATGTCCCACACGCACCACACTTATGGTCTCACCGTGTCTGCCACCTATACAGGCGCTTTGGTGCTTGGACAGTACAGATAGAGGCATCGGGTCTCTGTTTGCCGATCATTTTCTGTTTTTCTCTTCGATTTAGTGTCTGAAATCCATTCCAAAACATTATATATTAATCCATCCGTCATATCTCATCAAAATCATCAACAAAAACACAATTAAATCATCAAAATCATGCATGCAACACACACACACACACACTCTGCACCAGTTAAAACAGTAAACAAGCATGCATTTTTCAAAGATTTAATCAACCTATATGCATCTACAAAACCAAGTGCTTGTAAAGACTAGTTAGCACCAATCTTACCTCAAAGCAAAATGTCCAAACAGTCCAAATGCATGACTAGATAAGCCTAAAAAGCATGAAGAACAACTTGCAACATGTTTGTGTAGCAGTTGCTGTGTCAATCTGGTTTTTAGGTTGAATTCGTGCTTTCTGGATTGTTTTAACCATACGGATTCGATTTAAACTCAACCTAGAACCTAAATAAACTATTCTAAAGATGGAAATAAAAAAAAGAATGTAAAAGAAATAAGAATAGAAGAAGAACAATACACCTACCTGAAACATTCCGGCTCGACATTATTTTGGTTGTAGAAGAAGCTTCAGTTGAAGCTGAAAGAAGGATTTTTGTGTCAGGGTAAAGGGAAGTGAGTGAATGGCAGCAAGGGAAGGCTAATCTACCAAAAACATAAGGGAAAAAGGCTTACCTAGAAGAGAAGTAGTCTTCTTCCTTGGACAGCACACTCGCCCACTGCACTCTATTTTTCTGCACTTTCTTCTCTCGGTTTTCACTCTAAAGCTGCACTAGATTCTCGCTCTTTCTGCACTAGATTCTCGCTCTTTCTGGTTTTTTTCTCGGCCCTGTCTCACTCTTGATTTTTACTTTCTCAGTTGAATAAAGAAGTGAAGAAGAAGACTGAAGATAAGGCATCTTTAATCTGAAATGTTTTCTGCAACCACGACCCTCGGATCACATATAAGTGATCCGAGCTGTTAGGGGCATGGGTGGCCAACAGGCCTGGCAGGGGGAGCCTGTTTACTTGGCGAGGAAGGAAGGAAAATTGCCTGCAGTTTGGGCTTCGGAGCTGAGTGGTGGCTCATCGGCAAAAGAGTCACGACAAGTGACTTGCATGCCCACGAAGATGCTTGCAGGTGAGGAATCTCGCGCCCCAGCCTCGTGAGCGTCTTCTGCCCGCAACTTGTGGGATTTTCTTTCCCCCCAGTCATGACCAAGGACTTGGGCATTTGCCCACACGTTGGGGAGCTGGCCGTGGTCTATCCTAGATGCTGGGTGTGCTCGCGGGTTGGGGGATTTTCCCTCGGAAAGGGAAACTCACGGTGAGTTGTGTGTGTGTGTGTGTTTGTGGTTTTCTCATAATTTTTAGATTTAAATTAAATAACATAAATGCAAAAATAAAAGAAACAACTTGTAAAAATTACCTCAACACTTTTATAAATAACATTACCAGTTTTATAGAGGTTTGAATATTTCAGCTTACTATATACTTAGAATTTTCCCTAAGATATAATAACTTTCTTTTATAAAAAAAAAAAAAAAGCCATTAGAGTATATATTGTATTCAACTCCATCATGAACTAGATAAAATGATAATAAGATACAGATACTTACCTCTCAAAAAAATTAATTGTTCGTTTATAGGAGAACCAAATCTCCTTAAAAGTACTTAACCTCTCGTGTATGCACTACAGATTGAAAAACATAACTGAGTATATTCCTAAGTATGTCTTAGACAAATTTTAAGATCTAAATTTATTATCTTTTATTGATGTATGTTCTTATAAATTTTATAAATATGATGAACTAAGTGTTAGCTTGAGATTTAATAAATACGAGAGTCATTGTACATGGATTTTGGAAGTTGAAGCTATGAAAGTATAATTGTTTTACCTATAATTTAGAGTTAGCTATCATTCTTATTCTGAAAATTTTGGGATATTAATGGTTAAGGAATCATATTACATACTCATGAATTAAAGAGTACTGTAAAGTTGAATACAGGAGAATGAGGATGATTAAAATTATTGAAAAATTTTATGAGAACTATTAGTTATCGCTTAAGAAATGTGAGCTTGGTGATTAGAAAAAAAATTGAAGTTTATTAGAATCTTATAACCTTAATTATATCTTAGAAGAAATTTTAGGAGATTTACAAGCACGAAAAATCGAAGTACAATTTAATCTCGAGTTCCAACAAATGCTTAGTAGAGAGAATCGGAAATGATTTACGAATCTCGACATATATTACAAATGAATTGGTAACTCAAAAATGAATGTTAGTGTGACAATAGATTTTTTTATCATGAGAGGTTAACATATATGTTTGGATAATTGGTATCAAGGTGATTAGGAGAAAAAAATATCCCAAGAGAATTTTATACACTAGCATATATGTAATAGAAATACTAAATATTTTGAGGCCGTGTGGAGATATTACAAGAGAATAAAGCAAGATACTAAGGAACCAATTAGTGGAACAATATAATGAGAGATTAGATCATATATGTATTTACAGTGGTTTATATGTCAGTAAATGAAAATTGAACACACCTGGTATCAAGAAGGAGATTTTGTAAATCAAGTAAGTACTGTAAGAAAATGAGAATAAATTAGTATAAATTTTATGACATGTTTGCCTAGATTTTCTAATAGATTTATGTTCCTTGGCGTTATTAAAGATTAGTAAACCTACTATTGAGTCCAAGATTGAACATCCTAGATAAGTTTTATAGTTTTCATATAAAACTAATTGTAAGATGAGATAGAGTCCCTAGGTAAATGTTTATCTCAAATTTTGGATAAGTTTTAGATAAGCAGATGAAAAAGTAAGTGTAATTGTGATATTATTTATTTTGAGAACGTATGCAGAACATATGTTTTAGATTTGAAATATTATTAGTTAAAACCATTTTTAATTTGTGAAATAAATTTATTTTTAAAGTTTTGAATAATTGATCAAAAAATTCAACTAGATGAAGAATGACTTAACATCACATAATGAAGATAAGTAAGTTTTGCTGATGATAAACACTAAGAAATTAAGTATCAAGTAGGTAATCATGTCGTTTTAAAAGTTTTACCTACTAATGAGGTTATTAGATGAGATTTGCAAGAGGTTGAGCATATACTTTAATGACTGTCAGAAGTATTAAGCAAAAATTAGAGATATGTTAGAAGATGCATATATAATAAGATTTAGATTTCAATAAAGATTAAAAATATAATTTAATAAACTCTTAGAAGTACTAAAAAAATAAAGAGATCATCGGAAAAAAAAAAAAAAGGAATTATATAAATAATATAAGATAGATTTTAGAGTTTCAACTGAGTGACCATGTGATGTTATAGAAAAAAGTGATGTATTCCTCAATAAGGAAAGTTAAATACTCGATTCATTGAATTGTTCAAAATTTTAAAAAGAATAGGTCGTATCATTTAATGGTTGACACTTCTGCCTTCATTATTAAAAGTTCATAATGGATTTTATGGTTTAATGTTAAGCATATATACTTTACAATCCCAAGACAATTACAAAAAATAAAGTTGTTTCAATTTAGAGTTATTATTATTTTTAATAAAAATTCAGTCAAAGTTATTAATATAAAGGATCAAGTTCTTGGAAGACACTTTCGTAAGTGATTTAAATGTTGGAGATTGGAGGAAGAGATACGTTTTTTTATTGTGATTGATGATTCTATCGTACATGACTATTTATAAACACTATTACAATTTTTAAAATTTTAGATAATTAATTCTAACTACCAACAAATTAATTAACACATAGTAAATCTAATTTATATTTTACAACTACTAACAAATCAATGGATATATAAAAACTCTAATTTATGAAATACCACTACCAACAAACTTAAGAATTATATTCTTAATTTATAAATTATTTTTAACACTCCCCCTTAATTTGTAAATCTCATTTCAATTCAAGATTAGCGCATAGCTTTTGAAAGATTTCAAACTTGAGTGACTTGATGAAAATGTTTGCCACTTAATCTTGAGTCTTTACATACTTGAGCTCTACTTCCTTTTTATTAGTGCAATCTTTAATAAAATGATATCTTGTGTCTATGTGCTTGCTTTGTTCATGAAATACTTGATTTTTAGCTAATGCTTGTGCAACCTTATTGTTAATAAAAGTTTCAATAGCTTCCTCTTATGTCAAATAAAGTTCCTTCAACAATCTTCTAAGCCATATGGCATAAGCGCAAGAGATTGTTGTCACATATTCAAACTCATGAGTTGATTGTATAATAATGACTTAATTTTTAAAACTTCATGTAATTGCACAATCACCCATAAAAAATACAAAATTAGTTATAATTTTTTATCATTAATATCTCCAGTAAAATTATTATCTCAAAATTTCAAAATTTAAAATCATTAGATGGTGAATAAAATAATCTAAAATCAATAACACCTTTAATGTAATGTAGAATTCTTTTAGCAACATTCATGTGGGAGGTGGTAGGAGCTTCCATAAAACGACATATTAATCCAACTACAAAAAGAATATCAGGCCTTGTAAAGGTCAAGTATCTCAAACTTCCCATAAGACCTTTAAAGAGAGTTGGATTGACTTTTTTTTCATTATCAAACTTTGATAACTTGACTCCACATTCCGTAGGCGCATTCACAGGATTGCAATTAAGTATTTTAAATTTTTCTAAAATTCTTCTTACATAGTCTTCTTGAGAAATAAAAATGTCATTTTCCATTTGTTTCACCTGAAGACCCAAATAGTAAGACATGAGCCCAATATCGGTTATTTTAAATTCAAGTAACATATTTTTCTTGAATTCTTCAAACAAGCTTGGATTGTTGCTAATGAAGATGAGATCATCTACATATAGATGCACAAGTAGAATATCACCATTAGTATGATACTTCATATATAGAGCATATTTCATGAAGACAATGAACAAACCCATTATCTTCAAAATATTTGTCTATATGGCTATTCCATGCTTTTGGTATTTGGTTTAGCCCATACAAAATTTTCTTCAATTTTAACACTTTATCTTCATGTTCTTTAACCATAAAACCTAATGATTGCTCTATATAAACCTCTTCATTAAGATAACCATTAAGAAATGCTGATTTTACATCAAGTTAAAAAATTCTCCACTTCATTTGAGTTGAAATAATTAAGAGTAAGTGAATAGTCTCTATGTGAGCAATTGGTGGAAAAACCTCATCATAATCAACTCCATGTCTTTGTTTGTATCCTTTAGCCACAAGTCTTGCCTTGTACCTTTGTACCTCTCTTTGAGAATTTTTCTTTACTTTATAGACCCATTTGACGCCAATAGCTTTATGTCACATAAGAAGAGTTGATAACTCTCATGTATTGTTATTTTCTATGGATTTGATTTATTCCACCATGGCTTGTCTCCATCTTGTATCTTTCATGGCTACATCAAAATTCATTGGTTCACTATCAAGTAAAAGACACAAAACAGATAACTTATATTAAAGTTAATGATCTCCTATGTTTCATCATAGAGATCTTGAATGCTCTTCATTTTTCGTGGCCTTTCACTTGAGTTTCATTGAGAAGTAATTGATGCAACATAAGTTGGAGAATGAGGTAGAGTTGCCTTCTTGCAAAGGCACCATGGTCTCTTGGCCTTTCTTCTTTAAATATGAAAAAAAATTCATAAATAT